GAAAGCTCACTTAGCGTTAGCTTAAAGTTTTGGGTTATGTTTCAGGTACTTCAGAGGATCGCGGGAAGGCAAATGCGTGACCGTACACATCCTCATGTTTTGGACTTATGATTTTGGGAAAACTTTGATACGGAACATGTTTGAAAACTATTTTGTAAACGATTTATGTATTTGATTTGGTTTTAAAAGTTTAAAATTTTCATGAATTTTATGGATGTTACACTTCTCTTATGACTTACAACAATTTTTCTGCCCAACAACAATTTAATCAACACATGGAAATCAATTATTTGTTGGACAAATACCATCACAACAAAAATTTCTGCCCAACACTGTAGCAATCAACCCAAAACTTCTTCAAGACCCACATGCAGCTCTCGGCCCACCTACTAGTCACTCTAGTGCCTCCAATTTTGGCCCATTGCAACCTATGATCCAACAAAAAAGAGCTGCCAATTCGGTCCAACATGTCCCCTTGGGCTCCTCATTTTTTTCTCAATAGATCAAGCCCAACAGCCCAGGTTTTTCATCACAACAATATAATAATTTTTTGGGGGTTCACAGTCAACTCCCGACAGTCTCCTCAACTTACTTTACAAATATAGAGAGTTAATTTTGTGTAGTCAACAAATTGATGAAAGTAACTTGCTATTTCTTAAATTCTAATCTTCGTGATTATTTCTTTTCTTGTGCGATTTTTTGCTAGATTGTTAACAATTGTTCGCAACTGTGAACGATGTGTTATGTTTATTTCAAGGTCATGCAGCAAATATCGTACCTCTAAATTAAGGGACATACGTCCTTATCCTGAAGACAAAGTTATGAGAAACCTCCATATAAAATTGCCTTTATTCTCTATGAAAACACTTCAAAGTCTACTTTGTAAGAAATAACACTGTACTTTCATTTATTTGCTTGTTATAACATCCTACTTTCAATTGTTGTTGGTATTTTGTTGGCTTACAATTACCATGTTTTCCATTCAAGATGCTGATGGCGGTGTGCCATTTTTTGGGGAAAAGGTTGTGGAGTATGCACCTGTTCAATGAGTATTCACATGTTCATGGAGCATGCACCCAATATCCGATGAGAAAATTTCTTGAAAAATCATGAGAAATTTTACCAGTTTGTTTTTTGTATTCTCTTTTAATCTTTCTGTTGATGTTTTAACTGTAAACAAAAGTATGTGGTGATTCCTTTGCACCATTCCCTATAGATCTGTGGTTATAAACAATACAACAAAAAAAAAAAACTTTTTTTCATAGTGAAGCATGGGTACATCTCCTAGTTGCCAACTAATTCATAAAGCGTGAACACATTTATTTTATAGCAGATATATTCTTAATTATTTTCCAATAAAGAACATAACTTATTAAAATTATATATATATATATATATATATATATATATATATATATATATATATATATATATATATATATATATATATATAGGCACGCACACATACAATTTGAATCGCGATTTTATAATTATCGGACCATGCAAGTTCTAAATCGTATTATACGGTGCGATGTGTACGATTTGTACCGTTTGAGTAATTTGATGAACACCCTATACTTAATACATGGAGTCATGCACAATTTACCGTAATAATTTTTTTTTGTCATTTCATTTCAATGGTAAAAGAATAATAACTTTATTGCATTTTTTTAATTTAATTAAAATGTCATTTTATTACATTAATAGTATAAAAAATGTAATTCATTTTTAATCAAACAAAGTATATAAATAAAAAATAAAAATTATCAATTCGAATTAATAACTGAAATGGGCCAGAGTTTGAAAAAAACAAAAAAAACTAAAGTCAAAAATATATCAGCGGCCCAGTTGTACATGAACATTTAATTAATAAGATAAACCCAGCGGGCCAAGGGCACACTCAAAACTCAAATCAATCCCCAATTTTCACCTAATTCAGAAGTAGAGATCGTCGGCTTTCACCGGCACTGTAATCCGATTCCGGCAGGGGGTGGATATTTAGGGTTTTATCGCCGGGCAAAAAGATGTCCAGTTCCGGTAGGCCGTCGGCGGCCGTTGCGAGTGGAGATTTACAGATTGTATCGGCGCCTTCAAGCAGGACAGCGATCTCCGCTCTTCCTCCTCGCCATCCGACTAATTCTTCGTCAGCTCTTGTTGAATACACGCCTCCCGTAATTAATCAGGAAGAAGAGGACCTCGAGGTGAAGCTGCGTCGCATATTAGATCACGTCCCTGTTCGTGTTAACAATACCTCCGGTAGTTCCGCTGGTTCTGGCTCCGGCGACTTCCATCAGGTAATTCATCACCTTCTTTTAATACTTCAATTGAAATTGAAATCCAAATTCTCCTCTGCAGTATTCCCATAGTTACATATTTTGTCTTGCATACTTAATGATCGATGCTAGATTCTATGCATTAGTTGTAGTTTGGGTTAATTGGTGTTGTGGGGATCTACCGCCATTGAAACAAAGCTTGCTTAAATCTCCTTGGTGGAAGAACTGATAACATCTTTCATGTTGCCTTCCTCTTGAAAGCTCCATTGTGTATCACCCTCTCAATCTAATTCATATCCATCCAGTGCTTAATTTGAAAAACAACACTTTTCAAAATATGCTTTAATGGTGTAATTGAAAAAAATGAAAGTAAGTTGCTATTTCATGCATTTGAGAAGCTTTTGTTTTGCAAAAACAGTATCGACAGATGAGAAGGAAAGAACAAGATAGGCTTGCAAGGATGGATGTTGACTTCCATAAAAGGAAACAAGTGGCGGAGTTTAATAAGAGGAGAGAGGAAAGATTAAAAGCTACAGAAGAGAGAACTGCAAAGAAGCGTTTGAAAAGACAAAAGAAGAAGCAGAAGAAACAAGAAAAGAAAATGAAGTTGGAAGGAGTTGATAATTGTGAAGAAGATCATCATAAGGAAGATGATAATGATAAATCTTCAGATGAAGAAGATGATCAAAACGAATAGATCTACTTGAAAAATGGAAAGTAGAATGCTTGTTTGTTTAAAAACATGTGTAATTCCATTATAATTATGTTTTCATGAGCAATTTTTTTGATGTATGATTAGAGATTTTATATCAGGTTTTGTATTATGTTGATATGTTTTCTTAGAAAAAAGTATGATTCATAGTTTGCAAAGTACCAACTAAAAATTCAAAATTATATTCATTTATCAAAAGCTTTTAAGGCCTAACTTGTTTCACTAGTGAAATTAATTAGGGGAAATGACTCTTAAGAGTAACTAACTGTTGCGTTTGTTTTCATTTGGTATCTTTTTTTTTTTTTTTTTTTTTTTTTTTTTTTTTTTTTTTTTTTTTTTGTACTTAATATACCATCGAACTTGTTGTTTGTGTTCACCATAACTATTTTGATCGACTTTTGACCTGTGATAGTCGGTCAAAGGGTTATGGTGAACAAAAACAACAAATTTGATGGTATGAGTACAAGAAAAAAGAAAAAGAACCAAATGAGAACAAATAAAACACTTGGTTACCCTTCTGATTTATTTTCCCTCTATTCATTTACAATAAATCTCACGTCATCTCCTGTTGATATTAATGATTTTATGAGATTTTTTCTTGTTTCTCTTCAAAATATAACCCACAAAACATTATTCATACATGTACAACTTTGTAATGCACTTTGAATATTTATTAGGGGAATCTTGACTAAGCAAAGTGTATTTTCATGACTACATATACATTTCCAATCAAATGATTTATCGTATCATGAATTCTAGACAAGTCTACAAACGATGAAATCACAAGTGTTGTTCTTTTTGAGTTTACTTAGCTTTAAGATCGAATTTGTAGGATAAGATACAACATCAATATGTACAATATCATATAGCTTTTGCAGACACATCACCATAATATACCTTGAGGTAAATGTTTATGCTGATAAATATACGTCTCATATACAGTCATATCCTTTTGCAGAGGGGTGTTGACATGTAACCACAATAAACAAAGCATAGACCATCTTTTAATGAAGTTACCCCTCCGAAACTCCCTTCATATACATTATGGATAAAGAAAGTTGCAGTCTTTGATAATTTTGCAACTTTAATTTCATTTAACTTTTCGGGGAAAATGACTATTGAGGGTAACTAATTGTGAAGTTTGTTCTCATTTGGTCATTTTCCTTTTTTGTACTCAATATACCATTGAACTTGTTGTTTGTGTTTACCATAACCTTTTTGACCGACTTTTGATAGACTTTTGACAGAAAAGTCGGACAAAAAGATTATGGTAAACACAAACAACAAGTTCAATGATATATTAAGTACAAAAAAAGCAACTAAATGAAAATAAACGTAATAGTTAATTACCCTCAAGAGTTATTTTCCCAATTAATTGGATTTAAAAGCAATTTGTATGCCTTTAACGACTTTTTATATTTCCCTTTTATTAAGCACAACATGATAAAATTGCTTTTTTTTTTTTAAAGAAAAATTTATAATGTCATTTTTTATGATTAATTTTATATATAAACTAAGTATGAGACCCATGTATTAAATGAGTTTATTTAAAAGAAAAAACTAAATATAAAATTCTAAATATTTTAGAAGTTTGAATTTATAAGAAAAATAAAAAAAATATTGAATTATAAATTAAAATGTTTTTTTTCTTTAAATTTAAACAAGTAATTTAGATAAATAAATAACAAAATTAATAAACCTTTAATTTGGTAATTTTGAAATTAAAAGAAAGTTCATTAAAGAAATTAATATGCATTTATTATTATATTTAAATATTATATAAAATTTAATAAAATAGAAAATCTTATAAAATAACACATGAAATAAAATAATTTAAAATAATCATAAAATGATATTTTATAAATTGAATGAAAGTTTTACCAACAAAAAAAACCTTAATGAGAAGATTTTTTTAAATAGGCATTGAGGTTTCTCTCTCTTAGGCAAAAGGTTTGAAATGGGAGGTGCTTTATGAACATATGAAAATAGAAGTACTTGTATGTCATTTAATCATAAATATAGGGACTTATCTGCAAATAACTCATTCTAACAAAAACCGTCCGTTTGATTCTTGAACTTGAAGAGATAGACATTGAGAGGTGAAACGAGCTGCTCCACTGAACTCCTTTCCATTTCTCTCTCAGTCTCACACTCATCCGCAACAATGGCGGCAGCTCTAATTTCTTACACACCGTGTATCTCCACCGCCGGTAATCTCTCCTCCCTCTGTATTCTATAATTTCCACACCTAGATAGTAGGTTGTGGATTCATGATCATTATGTGTACTTTCTTTCCTCAAATCGTACTTCAATTTGGTGGAAATCGACATAACATAATCACTCACAATAGTGTTTTCTCTTAATCTTCATGAAAGTTCAGAAACTCGAGCTTAATTGTTAATGTAGGTGTTCTACAGAGTAAACGATTCTCGGATTCTGAATTGCGTTCGGTAAATTTACAAGTTTTTTCTGTTAATTCCAGCTAGAATTTCCAGCGTTCCACAGTTCTCATCATCCAGTTTGCCTCGAATTGGAACAACCTTCACTTCCGGTTCACCTCTCAGTAAGTTTCCGATTGCTATTACTGGTAATAGACTAATAGGAGCTAGGTCAACTTCTAAATTTAGAGAATACAATCAGTTTTAAAGATGAAATTCAATTCATTTGATCTCACTACTTAAACTTTAACTCCGAGACACAATTTGAATCATTGTTATTTCAATAATTATAGCTACAAACTACACAATTTCTCAACCCATTCAGACGATTTTCAAAAGATAACTACAAGTAATCACTAGAATTTTTCAGTAATATGCAGAATTCATCATCAGAAGGCCATAGTACCTAAAGCAACACCATCATTTTCTGTGAAATGTGAGCAAAGTAGCAAAGATGGAAATGGTTTAGATGTGTGGCTTGGACGCACAGCAATGGTGGGATTTGCAGTTGCAATTACTGTTGAAATTTCAACAGGGAAAGGGCTTCTTGAGGTACACTTTTTTTTTTATATTTTTTTAATGTTGAAAAATCTTTATGAAGTTTGAATTTCTTTATTAAAATCCCAAATTCACCTAAACTTTTGCAGAATTTTGGGCTCTCATCACCTTTGCCAACAGTGGCATTAGCAGTGACTGCACTTGTGGGAGTTCTCACAGCAATTTTCATCTTCCAATCTGCCTCTGATAATTAATTAATACATAACTTAATGTTTTATAAAAAAAAATTGTGTATTTATTTTCTTTCTTTACATTCTCTTTATTTTCTGTAACTTATATAACTTTTTGATGTGGGTCAACAACAATGTAGGGTTTATATTGTTCTTTGAATGAATTGGTAAACAAATTCTTCATTCAATAAATGTGGATGCCAGACACATAGAATATAAATCTTTGAGTTCAAAACAAATTCTACTTTTTATAAAAGATTTATTATAATTACAATGTGAAACTTCTACTTATGTAAAGAATATCAATTAGAAGCTCAAGAAAGCAACATATGTTTGTGTATTCTTGGTAAGATTCTTATTCTCTTATTACCTTACTTTAAGCATAATATCTTTTTTTTGTTATTCATGATTTGATATATTTTCACATGGGTGGCATAGCGCGTATTCATTCATGCAAAGAATGCAATCTTTTTTTTTTTTTATAAATTTCAACATTTTGAAGACTATGTGTATTCAATATTCTAAAATGGGTTCAAGATTTTCTAGAGTGAAGCAAGTTTTGGCAAAACGCAACATAAAGATTTTAATGTTGGGTCTTGATGATTCTGGGAAGACAACCATCTTGTATAAACTAAAGCTTGGGGAATTTGTAGCAACTGTACCCACAATTGGTATTTATTTTAATTTTCATCTTTAAAAAAAAAAAATTATTTGCACCTTAGTTTGTGTATAAGATAATAATAATATTACTTGGATGTATGTTTATGAAGGGTTTAATGTAGAAAGTGTGGAGTACAAGAACGTAAGATTCAACGTGTGGGATTTAGGAGGGCAAGATATGGTATCAAAATCTAACCTATGTTTTCTTTCTCATTTGTACTATAATTATATATATTATATTATTAGACGATTATAACCAAAGTAAATTATTTGTATGTAATTAATACGAATTAATATCATGTTAGGTAAAATTACATGCTACACATTTGAATAAATATTACACGTGCGTTTATATAAACATTACGCGTAGAATATCATAATACAAATAATAAACTAAGAATGTATAAAGTTTCATCATTTTGGTGTAAATAGTATAATATCAAATTTTGTATTTTTTTTTTTTTGACAGATTCGGCCTTTGTGGAGACATTATTACCGAAATACCCATGTGCTTATCTTCGTAGTAGACAGTAATAACAAACGAAGAATTTATCAAGCCCGAAACGAGTTGCATCGCCTTATAAATGAGGTTTATAATAATTTCACCTTTTTTAGAGTAAATTATATTTTTGGTACCTAAATCTACCTAATTTTTGCAATTTTGGTCCCTATTTGAGGTTCCCTACTTCTCTTAATGTTTTTGGTTTTCTTCCAAAACGTTTTGGAACCAAAATTGAAAAAACAACTAATTCAGGGACCAAAAATGTATTTCACTCATTTTATATTTATATTTCACTTCTTTTAAATATATCTCTATTCCCTTCTTTTTATAGGATGAATTGAGTGATGCAACAATACTTATTTTTGCCAATAAGCAAGATTTGCCTGGTGCTATGCATGTGTCCGAGGTCGCAGATAAACTCAAATTGCATACTATTTCTCAACGCCGTTGGTAAATATTAATTTTCTTTGAAAAAAAAATTCAATTTTTTGAGATATTATTCATATGTCAGTCTAATGCATGTCAAACACAGTAGTGATAGATTTGTTTTATGTCAAGGCACATACAGAGTACTTGTGCGAAAACAGGGCAAGGACTGAATGAAGGCCTCATCTGGCTAACCAACAATATTCCCGATAAAGTGGCACAGACAAACTCGTGCATATCTATTCCGGCTCGTAGAATCTGTGAGGCAAAATGTTAAACAAAAAAGCTATTACTATCAGCTTACAAAGTTCGAGGAATATTTGTAAAATTTTAATTTTTAGTAAATTAGGAGTTTAACTTTATTCAAAGAAATGGGAGTCAACAAATTAAAATAAAAAGTTTTCATTTTGAAGTCGATTTATGACTTAGATATATGTTTATCGAAGCTAAGCCATGTTAAAAGCTTTATACTAAGAAAGATATTCTTGCCTAAATGATTTTCCAAATGGAATTAAAGGTTTTGATAACCTCGATGTGCATGATAGTTATGACATAGTACTACGAAACATATCACTTAAAGTTGTTTTTGCAAAGAAATCCATCTTTGCAATTCATACCACCTTGATTTTTTAAGCACATGTAGAGCTTCCTAGTGTTTGGCCTACGTGATATATACATCTAACAAGAATGTTTTTTTATGTCTCCGAATTCATTTCTCTATAACTAAAATATTTCTTTTGAGTATGTTGAAAATAAAAAGAAAGCAAAAATGATGCTAATAATAATAAGAAGGATAAAATAACATCTAATAGAGATTGACAATCATAACACGAAAAACATTAACAAACTCCAGTTTCATTGATAAAAATGTTTTTGAATACAAATATGAAGAAGTTTAAGTAAACAATGGAAAAATTCTACTTCAAAAGGTGGTAAGGAGAAGGTTGGTGGGATTTTGGTGAAAAATGCCAGTTTTAGTGGTTTGGATATTTTGGGAAAGGTGATGGTGATAGGTGATGAAATCAATAGAGTATTCTTGATTCCATTAAGAATGGCGTAAAAAGGATGAATGAATTCTTGAACAATTCGTTTGTTTGGAAGGATTGCGTGAGGGAAAGGTGTAAGGTTGGTGTAAGATCGGAGCATGCGGCATAATAGAAATATCAAGGATTGGGAATAAATACTCTTTTCATGATAAAATGAGAAATATTGTTCC